ACATTGTTGGTGGGAGTGCAAATTAGTACAACCTCTCTGGAAAACAGTATGGAAATACCTCAAAGAACTAAATATCGACTTTCTATTTCATCCAGCATCCCCACTACTGGTTATTAAAGGAAAAGAAGTAATTTCATCAAAAAGACACCTGTACTTGAATGTTTATTGCAGCACAATTTGCAATGCAAAGATGTGGAATCAACTCAAATGCCCATCAATTCATGAATGGATTAATAAAATGTGGTATATGTATACCATGGAATACTGCTCAGCCATGAAGAAGGGTGACTTAATGCCTTTTGCAACAGTCTGGATGGAACTGGAGACCATTATCCTAAACCATGATATCCTAAACCAAGATATCATTTCTCCCCCAAAGTAATTATAGACTTAATGCAATCACAATTAATATCCTTTCTTGTGGAATTTGACAAGCAGATTCTAAAATGTACATGAAAATGCAAAGAATCAAAAATGGCCAAGATGCCTTAAAAAATAAAAACAAAGTGGGAAGATTGGCTCTCTCAGATAAAGCTACCATAATTGAGACAGTATGTATTGATATGGGAATAGACAAATAGATCAATGGAAGAGAACAGAAAGGCCAGAAATAGTCTTGATTTACAACAAAGATAGTACTACAAAGCAGTGAAATAATGTGAACAAGTGGATATTTAAATATATACATGTTTAAAAAGCATATAAAATCTCATAAACAATGTATCCTCCACAAGAGAAATTTTCTGAAGGAAAATTTTCTGAAGGGAATATAAACTGAAATAATCTCAGGGTTTCATCAGTTTATTTTATTAATCTTATATGTATCTCAGAATCTTCTCAAAGATTTACTAGCCACAGCATTTATAATCATAAAAGGTATTGCTTGAAAAAAATATACTCATATATCTTCAGTTTTATAGAAAAAAAGAAGTTAGATTCTCTAAATTTAAGAATTCAACAAAAGAATTTATCTTTGACCATCCTATTTCTTTTGCCTTTATTCCATTTATTTTTGTTGTCTAGTAAGATATAGTAATACTACCCCTATCTTGTTTCACTCATTAAAAAAATAAAAAGAATCTTCCATTAACCATTCCTTCTGACAAGCAATGATAGCAACAACAATACATTTTAAGGAGTAAGCACTTCCTATTTCTACTTACCCATTCTATATTTACTCTTGCATCATCTATAAACTGGATTCTACATTCACTGGTTTACAGAACTAAAATTTTCAAAGTTAGTTGTGAACATCAGTATGTAGAGATATGGTGGAATAGATATCCTAAAGAACCATTCCTACATTGTACAGTTAAATTTTGGTAGGTTAGAACAAATGTCCCTCAAATGTACTGTTAGCTTCAAGAAAAAAGTGAGGGAATTCCTCAATGACAGAAACAAAACCTGAAACCTGACTCGAACCATTAGGTAAAAACTAAATCTGGGTAGCCTGGAGACAAATACCCATTCCAGCCCATGAATCAGGAAGCTAAGATTTGGGTTCTCTTTAAGAAAACAGTAATACCTTCAACAGCTATACCTTCAATAGTAAGTAAATAGCTTCAAGAAAATAAAATGAAACCTGCTTTATGGGAGCAAATCTCCTATTAAGGCGTGATACTCTAAGATGGTTTACAATC